TTGAATAACACAGATAAACTATATTGTCGCAGTCGAGTGTTTATTGTCTTTGTTTTATCATTCAAAACGTTTATATGTTCGGTTTACTCAGTTACAGCTATAATAGCATGCCTTTGTCCATATAAGCGATTTCCTGGAAGGTCATTCTCGGACTGGATGTGTGGATTTTCTGTGTGAGGGTGCACTCTGGCGTGGGATTTTTTATTTCTTTATTTTTTTTTTATAAGTATTGGTTCAGGCACCGGAACTGTTTTAAAAGTATCGATTTGGCACCGGTATCGGAAAAAAAACTATACCCAACCCTATCGATAACAACCGGTAAAAACTGATAACACAGGCTCATCTGGGTAACTGAAGTCGGTGCTATACTCTTGCTAGGAACAGTTTTTTCTTGGTGGAAGCTTTGCGTTTGGTTAGCCAATACATTTTTAAAACTCAATTCAATATTATGTGTATAATTATTTAATTATGTTATCCTGGTATCGCGGACTCGCTCTCTCCTTTCATACAAACAAAGCTGCTGCCATTCTGCTACGATTGTTTTGCACGCTGTAATGGATTATAAGATAACTAACAAACTGGTAAGATTTTAAAATATTTTCGTCTTAAATCTTTTATTGCCATAATTATTTATGTGGTGAAATGTTGTGTAATAAGTGGTGTGACTGCACCGTATCCCTTAAATGTCCGTCTAGTTTGAACTTGCCACTTGCCAGCAACTGCTGTGTTCACGGAAGCTTTGCGTTCAAATATTTCAACTCAAATCAATATTTCGTGTCTAATTATTTACTTATGTGGCAAGTAGCCGTGTAATAAGCGGGATAATGTCACAATATTACTGTATTTACTGTATTTTTGATCACGTAAATACAGCTTTGGTGAACTTCTTTCAAAAACCTTTTTTTTTTAAATCATAATTGCTCCAAACTTTTGACTGGTAGTGTAAATGCTCGGTGACTATGGGGTCAGTGAATAAAATGACCTCTTAGGCCCAATCCCAATTCTACCCCTTAGCCCTTCCCCTTTCCCCTTGTCTCAAATCTCTTTTGGTTGGAATAACCACCGTAGACATTGAGGGGGGCTAGTCCCCCCAATAATTAAAAATCGCTAAACCCTTTTCTCCAATATTGCCAATTCGAGAGAGAGAGAGAGATGGAAGTTGCGTGTATGCGCGTTTCTCTTTTTAGAGTGTGTTTACTTAAAAAAACAGCGATTTTATCCTCTCGTTGCTGGAAAATATAATGT